CTCTCTCTCTCTCACACACACACACACACACACAAACAGCACACACACACACACACACACAAACAAAAAAACGAACTTCCCCCCCTTTTTTTTTTCGGAGGCCCCGACCTCAAATTTTTGTCAATATTTTTTTGTGGTTTTTGATGCGACATCCCACTCAGGTCTAAAACAACCCTCCCCAACTTTTTTTTTTTTTTTTTCTTGACCCATTATTTTCGGGGTGCGCCGCACCCCGTGCCCGCTCGTCGTGCGCTGTGCGCAGTGTGGCACGTGTGCGCGGTGCAGCGCACGTCGATGCGCCGCAAGTATGCTTCATAGTGATGTACCGTGGCAGTAAAATGTGTCCACGAACACAGTCACAAGGATGAACAAGTAACGGGTATGGGGATACATTCGTCACCATGTATCTCACCATGCCTCTAACAGGCCATCTGACAGACGCGGAAGCCTTCCTGTCAGATCCACCACAATATTTGAATTTCACACTTCAAGTTTGATTTCTCAGAGCCAAAAAAAAAAAACGAAGTCTGGAAATCAGCCCCCCTATCCCTTTCAAGTCCATAAAATCCAGACTTCCCGCCCACACAAAGCCACGAGTGCAAGGAATATGAGTGTGAACGATAGACAGAAAACGAAGTTGCGAAATCACACAGATGTCTGAGTAGTCGTGTACAAGCAGAGCGCACAATTGCACCGAGAATCCATCCAAATAGAGTAATACAATGAGGTAATGAGCCAATGTTCAAGCCCATAGGCCACACCAACACAGTATCCAAAGTCGCTCCTCTCTGTCTGGCGCCCAGAGCCTAGCCTACTCTACTCGACTATTCTACCTACAGCTGTGTTCACGTAACAGGCTCACTTTGACTCTCGAAGACCAATGTACATGATGTCAACACCATAGCCGACCTCTCTTCATGCACCAGGTACGTATCTCGTCACCGTCATCAGACCTTGAGAACCCACACTCGCCTCCTTCCCTGAAGACCACCAGATTGCCCTCTTCCCCCTGGCGCCCAGCAGCCCGGCTATGGCTCGCTGCCCTGCAGCGCACCACTTCACCTCTATGCGCCCTGTCAGCGCCCTTGGCCGCAGCGCAGCAGCGTGTCCGCATTGCCTACGCGGGCCAGCATGCGTGGCCTGGTCTGCCTCACTTCCTATATGGAAGTGGCAGCCTCCTGGTTGCTGCGTGTGGCCTGGCTGGAAGCTTCCAGTAGCTTCCGGTTGCGCCTCATCCCTGCGCCCAGGCCCGAGACTGCAGTTGAGGGCCTGGGCCCCTTTACAGTTGGGCACGGCCTGAGTCTACGGACTTGGGCTGTTTGCTGCATCTGTGCAGGGCTCCCAGGTAGGTGCGTCGACAGTACTGCTTTTGCTTAGGCCGATGGCCTGCTTCTCAATGTATCGGCCCTGTTTTGTGTGTATGTGCCCAGGCGCAACTGTCAAGGCTTGGGCCAACTGTACGACGCAGCTTAGTGAGGCTCACGCGTCTACTCAACCAACTGGCGTGCTGCAAGAGCCTGAATACCCACATATGGAAGTGTCGAGTTTTGGCCTCTGAGAAATATTCAGGCCCGCCTTCACTTGGGGTGGGCACTCGGCTTGCTGGGGGCCTTTGCCCAGAACATGTGATGTCTGATAGGGCCCTGTGAGGGCTCGTTCCTCGCACGAGCTATAATGTCCAATTTTTTTTTCTTTTGTTTTTCGACGCACCTCATTTGACGGGAGGCGGGCATCTTTACAGTCCCCGCTCGGGAACTACCAGGCCGTCGAGATCCGATGTATTCGACGGCCGTACTGCGTCACTCGAGGCCACACGTGATCGAAATCCTGAACGGAGTGGTAGAATACTTCGCTAGTAGGTCCAGGCCCCAGGTTGACTTTTTTTCTTTTCTTCTGGGTGGCATCTTTTCTTTTTGTAGTGGTATTTCACTTGCACTGTAAAGCTACCCCTTAGTCTACACCAGGACCCGTTCAAGTCGTTTCACAGAGTAGAACAAGAGTGATTCAGAATGGTTCTATTCTGGTTATCTGGTGGCATCTGGATTCGGGTCTGTATTTGTTTTATTTTATTTTTAATAAAGTTGTACACGTTCAAGGTAGGGCAGTGTCTGTATTTCAACATTTTATGGGTGTACTGACTGAGCTAGGCCCATTGGTGGTTGGCATCTTCATCTTCTTCTTCTTCTTCTTCTTCTTCTTCTTCTTCTTCTTCTTTTTTTTTTTTTTTTTTTCAATAAAGTTGTCCACGTTCAAGGTAGGGCAGCGTCTGTATTTCAACAGTTTATGGGTGTACTAACTGAGCTAGGCCCATTGGTGGTTGGCATCTTCATCTTCTTCGTCTTCT